GGGGGGGGGGTGGACCATTCAATAATCCAGTATTTCAGTAGCTGCTCAGCACTGTATGTGCCTCACAAGTTAGCAAGTATAACCAAGTAGTTGGATGTGGATTATCCATTTTAATATACAAATCACACAAGAATATTTTCATCCCAACACCAGTGTTGCACATGAACAAGTCATTTTATTCTGTGTGAACTGAACTTTGATCTAGCTCTGGGGTAGTGTGGACTTGGTACGCACCTTGTTCTGTTCGTACTTGTACGGGATCTTGAGGGTCTCGGTTGCACGGATCATGGCCTGCATCGAGGTGAAGATGTTCTGGTAGACCAGTTTGGTGAAGCCCTTCTTATCCTCATCTGTGTAGCCTGACCCGTGGATTATTCTCATCTGCTTGATGAAGGTGCTCTTGCCACTCTCTCCAGTACCTGAAAGGAAGACAAAAAGAAACAGGGAGGGGGTTAGCCTCCGACTGAAAGGGGATCATAAATGGATACAGGCAATTGCAGACAGTGTGAAAAGGTACAACTGTTGTATTCTCACACTTGACATGAGGAGCAAAACAGAAAGTTCTAGTATCCTGCAGTGCTCACCAACAACTGGAAAGAAACAAGGATGAGAGTATTCAATTCAAACTTTTGTTGAATGCTACAATACCCCAAGATGAGCTCTAATCCATCCACCCTCGTCTAACACCGTGAAGTAGCTCTCTCACATTAACGTAGTCAGCAAAATGTATTTTATCAGAGCAAACCAACAGTGAGATTCAATACAATCTTGGTCAAATTTGAGCATTTTTTTCTTTATATAACTCATATTTCTGTGGTCTTTGCAACAGGCTGACCTTGTCTGTCCACCTCCAACCTGCTGCTGGACACACAAGACTGTGAAAGAATCCACACCATCATGCCCCCAGGCAGTGAGCCAGGCCTGTGTTTCACCAGTACAGGCTAAGCTGAGAGTTTATTGTTGAATTACCTACCTATTAACATATTTTGTATCTTTTAAAAATGCACTCAAATGTTACTTGCTCGTGGTTGCATGCACTTCTGGTAAACAAGAAATGTGAGCTACATAATCCTGAGTAAGGGACCTAAACCACAGTCAAAAATACATGCGGACAAAAGTTTGTGCACCATAACGATGAAGTGTGATCATTGTTTTGGCTGCGGATGGACGGTCTGGGGTAAGTGGAGCAGCCCAGAGTAACCACACGAGGGCTGCACGGCTCACCTCAGCTCAACAAAGAGCCGGGTGAACCGAGTTCACTCCTCCAACTTTGTATCACAGTGACCATGCATATGCACACATGCATAAACACAGAAATACCTCGTCATAGAGGAAGAAAACATGCAGGTAGAGAAATACACATAAACCCCCACAGATCCCTCACACACTATAACTTCTCCAAGAGAACTTCCACCGCTGGATCTGGGTCTTTATATGGATATATTCAGTGAGCATGCTACCACTGCAGGCTTAGGGGTCATCAAGTAAAGTGGAACATTCAGAAGACAAGGCAGGTAGCGGCCTAAACCAAATTCAACTTGTAGTTTCACTATGCAGCTCTCTTTCCAGAGCATACCTCCTCTGTTCCACCCACCTATTGTCTTCCTCTTCCACCACTGATCTCCATCTCACTTCTCTCAACACTCAAGTCTGAGTCACTGCAGCGAAGCGTATTCTCTTTCACTCGTGTCTTTCTCCTGCCGATCCCAACCGGGGCTGCTACAGTTATTTTCCCTATGAATTCATCTAAATGTGACTTTTTCTGCTCGTAAAATTATTCTCTAGATTAAATGATGTGTTAAAATGTATGAAGTGCCCATCACAAGTTAAAAGATACCATGTGACGCCAATCAAATTGCTGACATTATGTTTGAACAGATGCGTAACTCAAGGATATTTGATTTACATTAGCAACATCTGGACATTTTAAATTTGCACATAATCTAAATAACCACATATATGCTGACAAACGTGTGAGAAATACATCCATGCATGCACACACCCAATAATGTAGCATAAACAGAAGTTAGGTTGGTGTGTTAGCATGCTAACATTTGATAGCTCACAAAGAAAACAGAGTACAGCTGAGGCTCATGGGAAGGACATTTTAACGTTGCCGTTTTACAAATGACAACCTCATTGTGGCGCTAGAGGAAAAGTCAGTGGGAGACATCCTCCAACGACCATGAATATCTGAAGAAAATTTCAAGGCAATCCCACCGATAGTAGGCTAGTTTAAATATTATGGTCTGGACTGAAGGGGACATGCGGTAGGAGAGCTGCACACCACTCATAATGTTAACGGTCACATTGTGTAGACAGAACTCTCGGGGCTGATTAGATTAAGGAATGTGCTTTGTGCCATAAAGCACAGCTGGTATTCCCGAGACGAAGTAGCCGAAATGTCTTCCCGAACGGATGACAAGAGTCAAGTTTGACCGTCGCTGACAGAAGAGCACAGTCGAATGTACAGTGAATGAGTGCCTCCAACCAGACAGGGTCTCTCACTGCGGAAGGCAGGTCAGGCAACATTGGAGTTTCCCCTTCAGACAGAGTCCATCTTTGAGAGAGGGACTAAAATAGCGATTGTCAGGACACAGCACTGGAGAGTTCACTTTTTTGACTAAAGAGCTGTGGAGAAGGGAGGGGGTTACTGGGAGGGCTTAAGAAAAGAAAAATACAGAGTACATTTTCTATGCTTTCCAAGCAGAGAAATAACGGGAGTTTACATGGGATCGATACGTCAGCTTTGTTGTTTAATTAAGTGTGTGTGTGTGTGTATTCTCCACACACACACACACACACACACACACACACACACACACACACACAC